AAGATTACAGGACAAATAATAAGAATCCTGCCAATAGATAGTAAGTGCTCCCAGTTTAGAAAACAAAACAAAACAAAAAGGTAAGTATGTGTGTGATTGAAATAAAATCTTTTCTTTGTAGAGGAAAAACCTGATCCAAAACTTGTTCATAGAATATACAGAAAATTAATAAAAAGAGCCCAGTTAGTGATCTTTCTTGGTGGAATTTATGACATAAAATATTCACCATAAACGAACAAAAAATTCTAATAAACATCCTGTCTGAGGGTGGAGAAAGAAGTAGGAAAGAGATTACCTAGGAAGGGAAACAGCAAACTTGTTTAAACTCAGACTACTCCACAATACCATACTTCAGAAGGAAAAAAAGTGGTATCTATAAAAATCCCCAAAATTCCCTATTAAATCACATTGTTGTAAGAATGCATGAGTAATACAACATCAAGCAGATAACAGCTCAGGTATTTCCTTTTTTTATACCCACATAAACATTACTTAAAGACATAATCATTTTAGAAATGAATCCACATAAATAATTCAAAATAGGGGTTTAGAGTATTATAAAAGGCCTAGTGAAGTGCATTGAAATGAATTAAGTAAAATATTTTATAAATGATTGAAAAAAAATAATGATATTATTGAAATAGGTATTAATGTCCAAAACCTAAGATCATATTTAAGGAAGTGGGGTTGAAAATAAAAATAAATGAGTATTAAGTTCTCACATTAAATAGGGATGGACAGTCAACAAATACTGTTTTACTTTGTATATTTACGAATTTAAAACGCTCAAATACTTATTAAAAATAAAAACCTAAATTTATTGAGTAGTATATTACAAAAAAAGTATGTCATCAAAACACTAGAGAAAAATGCAAAACCATGTATATATTTATATATGAAATAATCATAAGAATTTTTAAAAGTCAAAGAACATTTTAATAAAGCATTAAAATAGAATGTAAAAACGAGATGATAGAGGAAGAGCAAGCCTATCCTGATATAATTACCCTTTTACAGAAGATACTCAGATTTATTTACACAAAATATATTTTGTATTTGTTACTTATAGGAAGTATATCTAAAATAATATTGCATAGTAAGATTTAAAATACAGATATGCATAATACTATATTAGAGTATTTCTAATCAAGTTATTAGATGACACAATGAAATACTGTATAACTAATAAAATTATATGTTTTAAGATAATTTAACAAAATATGAATGTGCTGACAATGTATAATAGAATCAATTTTTTAAAATATGTGTATAAAAATACATATACAGATATAACCAAAATGATTAGAAGAAAACATATCAAACTATTAACACTAGTGGTGGGATTACAAATCAGTTTAATTTCCTTTTTTGATACTTTTCAAATTTTATAAATTTAATTAGAAAAGCTTTACTAAAAAACACAAAATACCAGAATAAATAATGATTCAGAATAAAGATGTCAATTCTTTCTAAATTATGCATTAATACAATTAATCAAAATGATGTTTTAAACTTGACCAAGATACTCTAACATTCTAGAATGTTAAAATAAATGTATATAAAGCAAAAGCACCCAAGAAAGTTCAAACAAAAAAATATTGTATAGAATGTTGTGAAATATTGAAAATTAAAGACTGAGTAAAAATACAAAACCATTACCATTTACACCACTGATTATCTAAGATGGTGGAATTACGACCTTAATTTTTTATTTAATTTTTCTGTATATTATATATTGACCCCAAAAAGTATATCTATCTTTATAAACTGTTGAAAAGAACAGCTTATCAATATTTTATTAATGTTTAAAATTATAGTCAATAAATGAAATCAAATATGGTTTTCTTTTTTCTGTATATATGACTATACTCTCCAAATTTAGTATACAGAACACATATCACTCCTAAATTCAGGGGAGAAAAAACACAGGTTTTAAAAATTGTATTTTAACATCACTCTCCCACTGTGGTAAAAGTCAGTCAACACCCCACTGGTCCAATTTAAATGTGTTTCTTCTTGTACAGTCTTCAGAGACAATGGGGAAAAGTTTCAGTTTTCAAACAACAGGTGATCTGACATGTCATTTTTATTGGGAGAACTAAAATGGGTTAGCCTAAAATCCAGCCTTCCTATGAATTGCTTAGTTTTCTGTAAAAATGTTACTTTCTATTTCTGTAAAGTATGATAAAGAATAGAGCTTTGGAGGGGTGCAAACTCCCATTTTAGAGTAACAGTAAAATAAATAAAGAAATCAGAATAACTGGAATTCCTTAAAAGACATTCATATAGAAATGATGAATGTTTCCTTTACAACTTACTTTACTACAGGTTGTAATTATTTTTTTTTTTTTTTTTTTTTTTGCACAAATCCTACATTTTATTTTATTTTTATTGTGATTTGGGTGAAGTTGTAATTATATATGCATTCTTAAGAGGATAATTTATCTAATCTGTCCATTCATAACAATCGAATATCCATCCATTATACTCAGAAATAACCCCAAGCCTGATTTTGTGGTTCTCTTTCTTATGTGTATTTTTATACTATTAGTAAAAATGTATGTATTCATAAATAATAAGTAGTATGATTTTTCACTTTATATATGTGCCATTGAGTTGGTTCAAAGTTGTAGTGACCCCATTTACAACAGAATGAAACACTGCCTGGTCTTGCACCATCCTCATATATATGTGTGTATATAAAAATGTGTGTGTGTTTAAGTTTTCATGCTTATCCAATCAACTTGTTACATCATCTTATTAATTTTACATTTTTTTTTTTTACCATCCCACTCATCTGTCAGTTTGTCATACTGTGGTGGCTTCTGTATTGTTATGTGGCTGGAAGCTATGCTACCAGTATTTCACAAACCAGCAGTGTCACACATGGTAGATGAGTTTCATGGAAGCTTCCAGACTAAGGCAGACTAGAAACAAAGGCTTAGCAATATACTTCCAAAACATCAGCCACTGAAGATTCTATGGAGCACAGTTCTACTCTGACACACATGGGGACACCCTGAGCTGGAGTCAACTCAATGGCATAGATAATGTAGGAATACTTTAAGAAGTAAGAAGTTCTAAGTGAATTCGTAAGACATTACACAAATATGAATGCCCTATCCTCTTAAAAAGTTAAACCCACATTTCAGAATGAGAGAGAATGATTTAAAAATTTGTTTCATTAATAATAAAAATAGTAAAACCACAACCTCATATTATTCTTAGAATGAAAGAAATAATTTGGGATTAAATGGTGGATTTTGGATTTTAGGGATTCTATAAACTCCTTAAGGAGCTCTGGTAGCATAGTGGCTAAGACACTTGCCTGCTAACCAGACGGCTGGCGGTTCAAACCCACCAGCCACTCCTCGGAAGGAAGGTTGGGCAATCCTACTTCCGTAGTGATACTGTCTCGGAAACCCAAGGAGGGGTCGCTATGAGTCAGGTATGACTCGACGGCACATAACAACAACAACAACAACATAAACTCCTTAAGGAGCTCTGGTACAGGAGTGCCTAGGGCATTTGACTGCTAACCAGAAGGTTGACAGTTCAAACCCACCAGCCACTCTGCAGAAGAAAGACTGAGCCATCTACTTCCATAAAGATTTACCACCCCAAAAACCCAAAAGGGGTCACTGTGAGTTAGAATCCGTACGATGGCAGTGAGTTGGTTATTTTTTTTAATAAACTCCTTAATCTTTCAAAGAAAAGTCTATATATATATTTATTTGCATTCTTGCATTCTTATTGGGAAAGCCAATCACATTTACTTGATTTTCAAAGAGTCCAAGACCTAAAAGAAGTTAAAAAAGATTATCCTAGATTATTAAACCTGTATTTTTTCACCCGTAGTCTCTGATTAAACTTTTCCATGTGCATACTTTTGCTACTTTACCAAAGAGACCAATTCATTGTTGCTAAACAAGTAAAAACTCTAGTTTAAATCAAGAAAAATTTACCTCTGTAACTTCCATGTATTTTTGTGATTCCATCTCTAAAACATGAGAGAATTACACATCTCCGAAAACATCCCTTTTCACGTATTTGGATATAGCTACCTTAACTCCAGAATACTTTCCTTTTTTAGGATGATGGCTTCTAAACAATAGACCATATAAACTTAACTCCCTAATTTTTCTCTTTAAACAAAGACATTTTCACTACTCATTAAGACAATATTTCATATATTTAAAAACTTCTACCTACATTCAACCAAACCAAACTCACTGCCATCAAGTCAGATCCGACTCACAGCAACCCGTCATTGGGTTTCCCAGGCGGTATCACTACAGAAGTAGATTGCCCAATCTTCCTTCCAAGGAGTGGCTGGTGGGCTTAAACTGCCAGCCTTCTGGTTAGCAGTCAAATGCCTTAGGCATTATGCTACCAGAGCTCCCTCTACCTACATTGGAAGCTCATTAATTCTGACTAACTGACTGACAGAGAGATAGATTATTCCAACTTTACTTGTGAATTTCAGAAAGAATTTAGAGAAAATAAGTTATTTTGATGCATGTGTTGTTGACAGGTGCCACTGAGTCTGTTTGGACACAGTGACCCTATGAACAACAGAATGAAACAATGCTCAGTCCATACTACCCTCAGTCGTTGCCATGCTTGAGCCACTGTGTTGTACACGCTTATTTACTCCACTAAACTCTTTAGAACTGTCAACTCATAAAATTCTTTAAAAAATATTTTTAAATTATCAGGATATATGTCAAAATATTATTCATGGATTAATTTCAACATACCTTCAATGTTTTATCCAGAAGTCGTTTTTTAAATCTATTTTTATGGATTCAGGATAACTGTAGTAATATTATTATTTTAAGTGGTACTAAAAACACCATTTACATTAATTCTTATGGGGAAAATATGTAGTGGAGTGAGATATAGTATCATACAAGGCAGAACAAAATTCCAAGGTGCTAAATTGAGCTCTACAAAACTCAGCAATGAAAGTAAATAAATATACAAAGAGTATTACTTACGGATATAATTCTGAAAGCTGTTCTGCTATCGCGTAAGCTGTTGGGTCTCTGTCTAGGGCGTAGAGAGTAATATCCGGCTCTGAATGTAGAATGGCTCTTGAGTGTCCTCCAGAACCAAATGTCATATCTAGAAAAACCTAGGCAACAGAGGGAAAGAAAATTACCACTTAACATGAATATAATGTATTTCTGTCAAGCAATTACTTTAATTTCTAGAGTCAGATAATAATTTTCAGAGGTGATACAACAACAACAATAATCTGTTTAGTCGGATTCGACTCATAGCAACCCCTCCTTGGGTTTCTGAGGCAATGCCACTGTGGAAGTAGATTGCCCAAACTTCCTTCCAAGGAGTGCTTGGTGGGTTTGAACTGCCATCCTTCTGGTTAGCAGTCAAATGCCTTAGGCACTACGCCACCAGAGGTGATAGCAAATAAAAAACAATCACAATCTTTTTCCAACAGTTTAACTTGTTGTACATGATATCCATCTCAATTAAGACTGAGCAGTCTAACCTAACTCATCAGAGTATCAGTAAAATGATACTTCTTGGCATTAGGTGGCTAATTCAAGACAAACAGAAAATTCCCTCCACAAGGTCAACATGACCAAAATTTTGAGCTGCTAGATTTTTAAAGCTTTCCAGCACTCAGCTGATATTGACATTTCCAATGTTTTCTCATCATTTAGAGATGGCTAATAATTAGTGTGGCTCACTTTATCTCAGTATCTCTAAATGCTTAATATGAAAAGTAAAGATATTGAAAAATAAAACATTAATTGCTGTCAACATGTTGTATATCTGTAGAAAGTTTAATTAGT